TTGTTCCGCATGGCTCTCGTTCGGCCACGACCCAGACTAACGCCCGCGCGTCGTGCAGACACAAACAAGCGCGCGTGGTCAGCACAACCGCCGACATTCTGGGAAGTGAGAAAATTACCCTGGCGACGTACCCAACCCCTGCGCAATGCGGGGCATGAGTCGCTTTGGAGACGTTATATGGAGGTAATGACGTGACATGGACGCAAATACTTCTGCGAGCGACATTCGTGAGGCTCAAAGCCCCCCAAGGATTGCGAGGTCCCGCTCAGATCTGCCTGGTGCCTCACTCCGCTGGACCCACCAGCAGCCCTCGAAAGTGGCGACAGTTTCGCAGATCGCAGCCCCCCAGGGACGGCGAGGTCTTGCTCAGATCCGCGCGGTGGCTCACTCCGCTGGACCCACCAGCAGCCCTCGAAAGTGGCCGACAGTTTCGCAGATCGCAGCACCCGCGGGACGGCGAGGTCCCGCTCAGATCTGCGCGGTGCCTCACTCCGCAGGACCCACCAGCAGCCCTCGAAAGCGGCGAAAATTTCGCAGATCGCAGCCCCCCAGGGACGGCGAGGTCCCGCTCAGATCCGCGCGGTGCCACACTCCGCTGGACCCACCAGCAGCCCTCGAAAGTGGCCGACATGTTCGCAGATCGCAGCCCCCCAGGGACGGCGAGGTCCCGCTCAGATCTGCGCGGTGCCCCACTCCGCAGGATCCACCAGCAGCCCTCGAAAGTGGCGACAGTTTCGCAGATCGCAGCCCCCCAGGGACGGCGAGGTCTCGCTCAGATCCGCGCGGTGCCTCACTCCGCAGGACCCACCAGCAGCCCTCGAAAGCGGCGACAGATTCGCAGATCGCAGCCCCCCCAAAAGCGAGGTCCCGCTCAGATCCGCGCGGTGCCTCTCTCCGCAGGACCCACCAGCAGCCCTCGAAAGTGGCCGACATGTTCGCAGATCTCAGCCCCTCAGGGACGGCAAGGTCCCGCTCAGATCTGCGCGGTGCCTCGCTCCGCTGGACCCACCAGCAGCCCAACGAAAGTGGCGACAACTTCGCAGATCGCACCCCCCCAGGGACGGCGAGGTCCCGCTCAGGTCCGCGCGGTGCCTCACTCCGCAGGACCCACCAGCAGCCCGCGAAACTGGCGACGGTTTCGCAGATCGCAGCCCCTCAAGGACGGCGAGGTCCCGCTCAGATCCGCGCGGTGTCTCACTCCGCAGGACCCACCAGCAGCCCTCGAAAGTGGCCGACAGTTTCGCAGATCGCAGCCCCCAAAGCACGGCGGGGTCTCGCTCAGATCTGCGCGGTGCCTCACTCCGCTGGACTCACCAGCAGCCCTCGAAAGTGACGACAGTTTCGCAGATCGCAGCCCCCCAGGGACGGCGAGGTCCCGCTCAGATCCGCGCGGTGCCCCACTCCGCTGGACCCACCAGCAGCCCTCGAAAGTGGCCAACATGTTCGCAGATCGCAGCCCTCCAGGGACGGCGAGGTCTCGCTCATGTCCGTGCAGTTTTCACTCCGCAGGACCCACCAACAGCCCTCGAAAGTGGCCGACAGTTTCGCAGATCGCAGCCCCCCAGGGACGACGAAGTCCCGCTCAGATCTGCGCGGTGCCCCACTCCGCAGGACCCACCAGCAGCCCAACGAAAGTGGCGACAGTTTCGCAGATTGCAGCCCCCCAGGGACGGCGAGGTCTCGCTCAGATCCGCGCGGTGCTTCACTCCGCCGGACCCACCAGCAGCCCTCGAAAGTGGGCGACAGTTTCGCAGATCGCAGCCCCCCAGGGACGGCGAGGTCTCGCTCAGGTCCGCGCGGTGCCTCACTCCGCAGGACCCACCAGCAGCCCTCGAAAGTGGCGACAGCTTCGCAAATCGCAGCCCCCCCAGGGACGGCGAGGTCTCGCTCAGGTCCGCGCGGTGCCTCACTCCGCAGGACACACCTGCAGCACTGGCAATAGTTTCGCAGATCGCAGCCCCCCAGGGACGGCGAGGTCTCGCTCAGACCCGCGCGGTGCCTCACCCCGCCGGACCCACCAGCAGCCCTCGAAAGCGGCGACAGTTTCGCAGATCGCAGCCCCCCAGGGACGGCAAGGTCTCGCTCAGATCCGCGCGGTGCCTCACTCCGTCGGACCCACCAGCAGCCCTCGAAAGTGGCCGACAGTTTCGCAGATCGCAGCCCCCCAGGGACGACGAAGTCCCGCTCAGATCTGCGCTGTGCCCCACTCCGCAGGACCCACCAGCAGCCCTCGAAAGTGGCGACAGTTTCGCAGATTGCAGCCCCCCAGGGACGGCGAGGTCTCGCTCAGATCCGCGCGGTGCCTCACTCCGCCGGGCCCACCAGCAGCCCTCGAAAGTGGCCGACAGTTTCGCAGATCGCAGCCCCCCAGGGACGGCGAGGTCTCGCTCAGATCCGCGTGGTGCCTCACTCCGCAGGACCCACTAGCCGCCCTCGAAAGCAGCGACAGTTTCGCAGATCGCAGCCCCCCCAGGGACGGCGAGGTCTCGCTCAGGTCCGCGCGGTGCCTCACTCCGCAGGACCCACCAGCAGCCCTCGAAAGTGGCGACAGTTTCGCAGATCGCAGCCCCCCAGGGACGGCAAGGTCCGCTCAGATCCGCGCGGTGCCTCACTCCGCAGGACCCACCAGCAGCCCTCGAAAGTGGCGACTCGCAGATCGCAGCCCCCAGGGACGGCCGCTCAGAAAGGACCCACCAGCAGCCCTCGAAAGTGGCGACAGATTCGCAGATCGCAGCCCCCCAGGGACGGCGAGGTCTCGCTCAGATCCGCGCGGTGCCTCACCCCGCAGGACCCACCAGCAGCCCTCGAAAGCGGCGACAGATTCGCAGATCGCAGCCCCCCAGGGACGGCGAGGTCTCGCTCAGATCCGCGCGGTGCCTTACCCCGCCGGACCCACCAGCAGCCCTCGAAAGCGGCGACAGTTTCGCAGATCGCAGCCCCCCAAGGACGGCGAGGTCTCGCTCAGATCCGCGCGGTGCTTCACTCCGCAGGACCCACTAGCCGCCCTCGAAAGCAGCGACAGTTTCGCAGATCGCAGCCCCCCCAGGGACGGCGAAGTCTCGCTCAGGTCCGCGCGGTGCCTCTCTCCGCAGGACCCACCAGCAGCCCCCGAAAGTCTCGCAGGCAGCAGCCCCCAGTGTTCGGCGAAAATTTCGCAGATCGCAGCCCCCCAGGGACGGCTAGGTCCCGCTCAGATCCGCGCGGTGCCTCACTCCGCATGACCCACCAGCAGCCCTCGAAAGTGGCCGACAGTCTCGCAGATCGCAGCCCCCCAGGGACGGCAAGGTCCACCTCAGATCCGCGCGGCGCCTCACCCCGCAGGACCCACCAGCAGCCCTCGAAAGTGGCCGACAGTTTCGCAGATCGCAGCCCCCCAGGGACGGCGAGGTCTCGCTCAGATCCGCGCGGTGCCTCACCCGGCAGGACCCACCAGCAGCCCTCGAAAGTGGCGACAGTTTCGCAGATCGCAGCCCCCCAGGGACGGCGAGGTCTTGCTCAGATCCGCGCGGCGCCTCACTCCGCCGGACCCACCAGCAGCCCTCGAAAGCGGCTGACAGCTTCGCAGATCGCAGCCCCCATCGTCGGCGAAGAGAGGGCAGGAGGAGGCGGGATGCGGGAGGAGGAGGAGGAGGAGGAGGGGGAGGGACGCGACCACGCCCCTCTATTCAAAACGAATACCCAACCAAGGAGGGCTGGGAAATAAAAAAGAGTTCCCAGAGAAACTCCCGGCGCCTCCGCAGCGAATCTGTCTTCTGCAATATCTCATCCTGACCGTGGTCACACAGTCCCCCACACACATACATACATACATACATACATACATACATACATACATACATGCATGCATGCATGCATACATACAAACATACATACATACATACATACAAACATACATACATTCATTCATACATACATACATATGTACGTACGTACGTACATACATACATACATATATGCATACACACGCATACATACATACATACATACATACATACCTACATACATACATACATACATACATACATACATACATACATACATACATACATACATACATACACACACATACATACATACATACATACATATATACGTACATACATACATACATACATACATACATACATACATGCATACATACATACGTACATACATACACACATACAAACATACACACATACACACATACACGCATACACACCTACACACATACACACACCTACACACATACATACATACATACATACATACATACATACATACATACATGCATGCATACATACATACATACATGCATACATACATACATACATATATGCATCGATACATACATACATACATACATACATGCATACATACATACATACATACATGCATACATGCATACATGCATACATGCATACATGCATACATGCATACATGTATACATGCATACATGCATACATGCATACATGCATGCATGCATGCATGCATGCATGTATATATACATACATACATACATACATATATATATACACACTAGATGTAACACAACTTTGCATACATATACTCGGCCAAAACCATAAGTCCAGAACCCGGGAGCCTCACCGTGCCAAGATCCCCAGACCTGGAACCGAGAACCCGGGAGCACAACCGCCCACCGACCTCGGCCGGGAACCAAGACACGGGCACGCGTGAGCCCAGCCTCCCACCGAAATCGGCCCGCAACTTCCGCCTCTTCGGTGCACAGGAAGGAACGCAAACTGCTCGCGGCCCGCGCGAATCTCTCGTGCTGGCGCGCGGAGCGCGCCGCGCCCAGGGAGGCGCCAGAGGTGCCGCCAGCTGGGCCCCGCGCCGGCCTGACGACCCGAAGACATCCGCACGGACCTCTGCGAGCTCATTGCTCCATTCTCATGCGCCTTGCTCCTCGAGACCTGCCCGAGCCCCCCTCCCTCCCCCAATCGAGAGCGCGCTCGAGCGGACGCCCCGCAGCGGCGGCAGCCAGCGGCACCCACGGCCACCTGCTCCGCCCACAGCGTGGGCAAGGCCCCGCGCGGTGGCACCCCCCCGGCGCCGGTGCGGCACCAGCCGTCCACATCGCTGGCCGCCTCAGCGGCGCGAGCGAGGTGGACGCGGAGGGCCGCCAGCCTCGCCGAGGGACGGGGAGGGGGAGGGACGGGCGACGGCAGCTGGCCACCTCGCCGATCCTGGCCGGGCCCATCCTGGGCGTGGGCCCCCCCGGGCCTGGCCAGGGAGGCGCAGGCGTGGCCTCTGGCTGCGGGGTGGCGAGGAGAGGACCACCCCCAGCCTCGCATGCCCTCGGACGCGGCTGGAGCTGAGGCGAGAGCCCCAGGTCTTCTCGTGCGACTCTGCACGCGCCTGTGTCACCAGAGCGGTCCCGATGCCGAGGCGAGAGCACACCAAAAGCCAGCGCCCCTGGAGGCCTCCCAAACGCACGTCCCCACTGCCTGCCCGCAGTCACGCTCTGATGGCAAAGGGAGGATGCGCGCGGATGACGTTGTGGGAACAGGACAATGCACGCTGTAGGAATGCACGAGGAGGCACTGGGAGGATGCACGCTGTGGGAATAGGAGGGCGCACGAGGAGCAGGCGCTGCTGGGTGCCACGTGTGTGCCGCTGTCCAACAGAGGCCTCGTCAGAGGCCCCCCATGGGCGACCGAAGCGTTCGACCAGGTGGGCCAACATGTGCTTGTCGTGTGCGCGGCCGTGCCCCCTGGGGGCCCTGCAGCAGCTGGGATTACCCAGGGGCGTTGGAGGAGAAGAGAAGCGGCATGATTAGAGGAGAAAGAACCATGCACATGAACCGATTTTGGCCAGGCCCATCCTGAGCCCAGGATCGGTGCATACGCCCGCTATCTTGGCCAGGAAGGCATATGCACCGATCCTGGGTCAAAGATGGGCCTTGCCAGGATCGGTGCATGTCTATAGTTCTTTTCGCCCGAATGATCGGGTCTGCGACAGGATGGGGAGGCGGGGGGACGAGAGGAGGAGAAGACCTGCGGGTGGCGCGGCGCCGTTGCCGTAACAAGGGCCGACAAAGAGCGAAGAGCCACCCCCGCTCGGACGCTGGCTGACCGACACCTTCCGTGACGATCCACTCGCCCTCGGGCCCCCCCTTTTTGGCAGCTTGCCCACGCCTTGGAGCGAGGCAAGGGGGTCGTCTCGGGAGGGGGCGGGCGCCCCCTGACCTGCGGTCGCGGCTGGTAAAGCTTCGGGCTGCGCGCAGACAGACCCCATGGCAGTCCCGGCTGGCCTCAAGATCCTCCGAGTGGTTCCAGCTGGCCTCAAGAGGTTCCCCGAGTCAGGGGCACCGACGGAGGCGGCGCCAAGGTGTTGAGACAACCCCCGACTACTCAGGGGGCCTGCTGAGGCCAGCCAGGATCTCGGTGGGGGCTGTCCGTGCGCAGCCCGAAGCCTTACCAGCTCCTCAGCTCCTCTCTGGCAGCCTGCCCCAGACTTGGAGCCAGGCAAGGGGGGCGTCACGGAAACGGAGGAGGAGAAGGAGGAGGAGGAGGAGGAGGAGGAGGAGGAGGAGGAGGAGGAATGCACGCACTCATCGAGGAAGAGACGAGGGCAAGCGGGCAAGACGCAAGGAGTAGGATGAGGAGGGAGGAGGAGAGGAGGAGGAGGAGGAGGAGGAGGAGGAGGAGAGGAGAGAGGAGGAGGCGGAACGTAACCAAGGGGGAGGAGGGAGAGGAGGAGGAGGAGGAGGAGGAGGAGGAGGAGGAGGAGGAGGAGGAGCAGGAGGAGGAGGAGGAGGAGGAGGAGGAGGAGGAGGAGGAGGAGGAGGAGGAGGAAGGGAGGAGGAGGAGGAGGAGGCGGAGGAGGAGGAGGAGTCGCCGCTGTACCGCGGCCGCAGCCGACCCGAGAGACCGCTGCCCACGGCGGCCTCTCTGGGCAGCACTTGTCGAGGAGCCCGGCACCCGCTGGCACGTCCGCGAAAAACACGGGCGTAACGCCAGCCTCCCTGAGCCGCGTCACCTCGGCTCGTCGCACCCCAAGGCTCTCTCCTGCATCTCGCCCTCCCCACCTGTAAGGCGAAAACAAGATGAACATCAGTTCGAATGGAGATAGATTGGGAGGATGTCTCAGGCGCTGCGGCCATTTCAGAGCGCTACTGCTCTGGAGCGGTATATCTTCATCTCAGGCGCGCCTAGCTCTGCACACCCTTCCCCCATCCCTAGACTAGGTCGGGCATGTCCCCCTACAAGCGGCTTTTGGAGGAAAAACGAAAAATAGTCGAACACTGTTCAAACATGATCAAAAATTATAGAAACATCGTCCCCAGACTACTGTTCCCAACCATCCTGTGGTGTTGGGTCCTCGTTTTGAAGAGACGGTGGCCCACGTCTCCTCTCCTCCTCCTCTTCCCCCTCTCCTCCCCCTCCTCCCCCCTCCTCCTTGCGTTTCACCCACCCGGTCCAGCGCTTCGTGGCCCCATAGGGAGCTCCACTGAAGGCTCCAGTGGCTGCGTTCGCATGGCGGCCCCGGGACATTTCGGCACACCCCTCACGAGGATCGTGGCCTCATAGGGAACTCCACCGAAGGCCCCAGTGGCTGCGTTCGCATGGCGGCCCCGCCCCATTTTGGCGCACCCCTCACGAGGATCGTGGCCCCATAGGGAGCTCCACCGAAGGCTCCAGTGGCAGCGTTCGCATGTGGGCCCCGCCCCATTTCGGCACACCCCCCACGAGGATCGTGGCCCCACAGGGAGCTCCACCAAAGGCCCCAGTGGCTGCGTTCGCATGTGGGACCCGCCCCATTTTGGCGCACCCCTCACAAAGATCGTGGCCCCATAGGGAGATCCACCGAAGGCTCCAGTGGCTGCGTTCGCATGTGGGCCCCGCCCAATTTCGGCACACCCCTCACGAGGATCGTGGCCCCATAGGGAGCTCCACCGAAGGCCCCAATGGTTGCGTTCGCATGTGGGCACCGCCCCATTTCGGCACAACCCTCACGAGGATCGTGGCCCCATAGGGAGCCCCACCGAAGGCCCCCAGTGGCAGGGTTCGCATGGCGGCCTCGGGCCATTTCGGCACACCCCTCACGAGGATCGTGGCCCCGTAGGGAGCTCCACCGAAGGCTCCAGTGGCTGCGTTCACATGGCGGCCCCGGGACATTTCGGCACACCCCTCACGAGGATCGTGGCCCCATAGGAAGCTCCACCGAAGGCCCCAGTGGCAGGCCCCCGGCCATTCCGGCACACCCCTCACTGGGATAGTGGCCCCATAGGAAGCTCCACCGAAGGCCCCAGTGGCAGCGTTCGCATGGCGGCCCTGGACCATTTCGGCACACCCTTTACGAGGATCGTGGCCCCATAGGGAGCTCCACCGAAGGCCCCAGTGGCAGCGTTCGCATGGCGGCCCCGGGCCATTTCGGCACACCCCTCACGAGGATCGTGGCCCCATAGGGAGCTCCACCGAAGGCCCCCAGTGGCAGGGTTCGCATGGCGGCCTCGGGCCATTTCGGCACACCCCTCATGAGGATCGTGGCCCCATAGGAGCTCCACCGAAGGCGCCAATGGCAGTCTCCTTCATGGCTCTCAGAACCCTTTCCTGCTTTTGCTCTTCGGTCAGGGGTCGCCGTCCTCGTGGTCGTCGGCGCCCGCGAAGACGGCCACAAATGTGTCCCTGGGCATGTCGGGCTTTGGCGGGAAGCCGTGGCCACATAGGGAGCGCGGGCGAAGATGGTATTCACAATTGCTGTATCCACAATTGCGTATGGTTGGGTCCTTCACCAGGCTAATTTTAAATCTATGTTTGGATACTCCTCATTGCTCATGTGGAGGGGCACGCCAGACAAAACCCTAGACATCCGACGTCCTGCCTGATGTTCAACTCTGCTGGCAGCGCTGGCGGTCGCAAGCGCGTTTGCAAGGACAGGGCGCTAGGCACGTAAGGAGGGCGGCCGCGGAGGCGACGGTTACTCGGACGCCGGGCAAAGGCTGCTAAATCCGCGGCTGTAAAAAATCGATCTCCGGGAAGTTGTCTTCTTCCTGCCGGGAAGAAATCCGTTGACTGTTTCGCGTGCCGCGCCTCATTCCGGGCAGTTGTTGTTTCCTTCTCGGAGGGCCGTTTTCGCAGCCACGGTTTTAGCAGCCCTCGCCCAGCTTTCGAGCTACGTTGCTCCCATCGCACTCAAGGACCACGTCCCGGAAATTAGATACCAATGTCGAACGAGTACCGCCTCCCAGGGCCCGGCACGTGAGGGCCCCTCAGTTTCGGTACTCTCTTGGTGCTCGGACTTCTTCCTGGCGGTGAAGGCTAGAGGGAGCACCTTCTCTGGGTGGAGGGCAGAGGGTGAGATCTGAGATGCCGCTTCGATGGATTTTTCCAGGCTTGAATCTGCAAGCGGCGAATCACATGACGACTTGGTTTTCCAGGTGCAGAAGCCCATATGGATTTCACCCTGAGCCCTCCGCCCGAAGAACATGCTCAGCGAGAGCAGGCTGGAACATCACAGGTCAAGGGGCCCCAGGACACACAAAAAATACACACAAATAAAAAGATCCCCCATATTTTCCCATATTTTCTGGGTGTTTGTCTTCCCCCCCACTTCCCATATTTCCCCATACTTTCCATGGGATCGTCGATTAATTGTGGCTGTGTTTTTTCTCTCCTGAACACGGCGAGGGAGGCCGCCGAGGCCCGGAGCGCCGAAAAGTCGGCATAGGACGGGAGCGCGCGGGCGGCCTTGGGCACCGGAAGCCGGTGCACTGCCAGGCGGGCGCGGCGTCCCACTTGGGCAGCCATCTGCGCGCGTCGCGCTCCTCGGAGCGCGGAGCGCGACGTGATTTTCGCGCTTTCGCGCCGCCGGCCCCCCCGCCGGAGCAGGACGAGGGACTCGCGCCTCGCTCGGACATCGCCCAGGCCGCGGAGCGCGCCGAACTTCGCACCCTCGCGGTGGACCCAGGGTGCGGCAGACTCGTGTCGTGCCGACCCCGGCGTTGGCTCCGGACACCGCGGGGGGGATGATCGTCCGTCCAACCTTGAACGATCGGCCGTTTCCGAAACGTCAGATCGTTCAACACCGACGGATTCTTAGTCGCAAGCGTTCAACGTTGAACGTCGGCGGCGGGGTCGCCGCCGGTCGACACGACGCTAACCAATCGTAACTGCTGTTCCATGCGTTTTCCAATGCTGTGAGTGCACATCCGAATTCCGGGGCGGGCCAAACGCCTCACGCCAGCATTGATGCAGCGCCGGCCGCGCAAGCGCGCGGAAACAAAACCGTCAAGTTCTCATTGACGAGTCTTGTTGGGTATCTGCTGCTGGTCCGCACGCGTGTCTCCGAAGCTCTCGGCCCCAGCACTCGCACGCGCCTTACGCCGCCAGGCCGCCCCCGGCGGGCCCCGAGGCGGGCCTCCGGAGGCACACGCTGGGAGGGGGCGGGCGTCGTCATGATCCGTCGCCGCGCCGCGTGTTCCCGACGCGCACAAGTGCAGTCGGCCCTGGGCCAAAAGAACATCCCTCAAGAACACGAGCACGAGGCCCTCCGCCGGCCACAGCGCACAGAGCATCCCAGGGTGCCCTCCCCGGGGTGCACGACAACATCCGATGAGCACGATGACCACGAGGGTACCATCCCCACCTCATCTCGATGAGTCGACCTCGATCTCATACCTCGGTCCAACTGTAGGCGAAGCCGGCACAGCGGCACACCCACGGCACACCCGGGGTCCGAGGCGGAGCTTGCCCTGGTGTCCGAGGCGCCCTCTCCAAGACGTGAGGCCGCGCGTCGGCACCAGCGGCGCGGCGACATCTGCTCGCGGGGCGCAGAAAAAAGGACGCACTGCGGCTACGCGCCCCCCCCGCAGGCGCCCGCCCAGACCGAACGGATGCCGCAGGCATCTCTTATAACTGGCGTGGGCGGTATGCGCGGAAAGCGGCCGCCACCGAGGAGCGGGCACTGTGAGATTTCTCGGCGCGGGCGTCGCCCGTGGGGGGGGGGAGACGCACACAAACACACACACACACACACACACACGCACACACACACACACGCACACACACACAAACACAAACACAAACACACACACAAACACACAAACACACACACACACACACCAAAAAAAACACACACACAATAGAAGCGTATTTGGGTGATGCCGCTGTTAAAGACGCCAGAGCTCCGGGCTCTCTGGCTGCAAGTCGGACCAGAGGGGGCCGCTGAGCGCCATCTCTGGCGTCCCAGGAGTGCTCCACGGCTGCTGGAAAACGCCCCTGGCCACGAGAGCCTCCAGGGAATCCTTTCCGGGAGCGGTGGCACGCAGTTGGTATGCAAGAGACACGCGCCCTGAGGGAACCAGGTCCTGAACCTAGGGGGCTTGTCCCTGGACGAGCTTCTTTCTCATCACGAGCCACTTTCTGACGGTCCCAGGGCCGGTGGAGGGCTACGGGAGCCCGAACACTGCAAAAAGCCTTGGGTAGTAGAAGCACAACAGCGTGCGCAAATCCGCCGATCCGGCGTGTGAGTTTCTGAAAACGTGGGCTTGAACTCGCTCAAGCTTCGCTCTGGAGGGGGGGTGGGGGGGGGACGCAAACGATGAAAACCGACGAAAAATTCACACGCGAGAGGGGGGGGGGGAAGGAGAGAAGGGGGGGGCTCGCTCAAGCTTCGCTCTGCAAAGGGGGGGAAGGACGCCAACGACGAAAGAATTGACACGCGACGGATGGGGGGGGGGGAAAAGAGAGAAGGGGGTTGGGCAGGAGAGAGGGGGGGGGAAAGCATAGGAGAGAGGGGGGGGCGGGGAGAGGGGAGGGGTGGACACGAGAGAGGAGGGGGGGGGCAAGGAGAGAGGGGGCGGGGGCAAGCTAGGTGCGCTCGCTACCCCTCCCTCCCATCCCTTACCATGGCGTAGGTCCCCTCTCTACTCGCACAGTCGGATATGCTCCCGAAAGGGTACGCGATGCTTTGCAGAGCACGGCATGGCATGGCGTAGAGGAGCACCGCAAAGCGTAGTATGTCACAGCATGCTGTGGCGTGGCGTAGTGAAAAATTGCATGACAAAATTTTGCAACGCAAAGCATGGCATCGCACAGCGGCCCCGAACATAACATTGCATAGCATGGCGTGGAAGATGACAGCGTAGCATGGCATAGCATGACGTGGCACTTACGCACTGGATATGACAGCTGCAGCTGAAGGCATGGCATCGCGCAGCGGAACGCAACCTAGCATTGCACTGCATGCCGTGGCATGGCACGGGAAATGACGCCAGCGCTGCAGCGTGAGCACGGTTCGGAACGAGCGGAAGCGCGGAAATGAGGCCAGCGCTGCAGCGGGAGCACGATTCGGAACGAGCGGAAGCACGGGAATGAGGCCAGCGCTGCAGCGGGAGCACGATTCGGAACGCGCGGAAGCCCGAAAATGAAGCCCGCGCCCCAGCGAGAGCATCATTTTGAAAAAACCAAGCGAAAACCCAACTCCGGGAAACCCTGTGTTTTAAAGAAACAATGCGCGGAGGGTGCCCGCTATCTTCTGCACGCCATCAGGGGATGGAGGAGAGTCGTATTCCTATTGCGTAATTGTGAGAGGATAGGAGGAGGAGGGGGGGACGAGGGGGGGGAGAGGACAGAGAGAGTGGGGGGGGGAGGGGGAGAGAGAGGACAGGGGGGGGGACAGGAGAGAGGGGGGGGGAACAGGAGAGAGGGGAAGGGGGGGGGACAGGACAGGAGAGAGGGGGGGGAGAGGGGGGGGGGACAGGAGAGGGGGGGGGGGTAACAGGAGAGAGAGGGGGGGGAGGGAAAAGAGAGAGGGGGGGGGGACAGGAGATAGAGGAAGGGGGACAGGAGACAGGAGGGGAGGTGGGGAAGGGGGGCCGGGATCATCACCATCACCATCACCATCACCATCGTCACATCATCATCATCATGATCATCAGGATCATCATGATCATCATGATAATCAGACCATCATCAACATCATCATCATCATCTGCAGCATCATCATCAGCAGCGCCGGTATCATCATCATCGTCATCATCAGCAGCATCATCATCAGCAGCATCATCATCAGCATCATCCTCATCATCACCATCATCATCATCTTCATCATGATCATCAGCAACATCATCAGAATCAACAGCAACAACAGAATCAGCATCATCATCAGCATCATCATCATCATCAGGAGCGTCCCGGATCGGCGGCACTGGCAGGAAGCCACTACAATATAATATGTCGGATGGCCGCGCGGATTTCTTGGATCGGTGCTGGGATATCCTGGCGCGCGGAGGGCCAGCGCCGCCATGAAGGCCTAGCGCCGATCCGGAAAATCCACGCGGACCTACGAACTCGCATGCTTCTGCAAGCCTTCCTTCGACCTCATGACCCCTGCCCTCGACGGAGACACCGTGGCCTGAAAGGCGCTCCGAGCCCCCGAGCAACACCGAAGGTCTGCTAGGCGCCACGCCAGGGCGGTGAGGTCCTCGTCCAACCTGGCGTAGTGGCCGAAGCAACGGTTGTGGGCGCCAGCGCCGTCGGCACGGCCTCCAGATCTTAAGCATGGACCGACCGATCTGGCATTCCTATAGGCCTACCACGAAATTCCCTTAGAACCGAAGAAATTCGAATAACAAAACCAGCGCTCTGAGAACATGGCGACGATCTATTAGAACAATACGGTCTCAGGCAGAGATGTTCAAAGAACACTTCGCGCAAACCACAAAAGGGTTCTTAGAACGTTCTCTGGTGGGCCTATAGGCAAGCCAGGACGTCTCGTCTCTGTTTGAAGACCAGGGCGCGCGGAGTGCGGTGGCGCGGATCTATCCCGTGAGACACGAAATGCGGATAGTGTCGTGCAAAATTCCGATGCCCTCGAAGGGGCTCTCCTCCCTGGCAGAGCCGGGGGAGAGAGGCGGAACCGGGGCCTCCTCCTCCCCCTCCTCCACCTAACTCCACCTCCAGACTCCTCCTCCTCCTCCTCCTCCTCCTCCTCCTTCTCCTCCTCCTCCGCGCTCGCGCCTCCGCAGCTGTCCTGGTCTCCCCGCGTGGGAGCAGCCGTGGATGGACCTCATGTGGGCCCATCAGGCCAGGCTTTGAGGCCTGGCGGTGGCTTACCTTGGGTAAGCTTCTGGAGAGCTTTGGTGCCCCCTTCTGTGGGTGGTGCACAGGGCTCTCTGAATTTCTTGGCCGCACGGATGGTCCAGGCTCCGCATCGGGAGCACCAAATGACACCATTCAATTTCTTGATGAACGGCCCGTGGGACGGGTGAAAACGGTTTTGCGGTCCTGGGGAGACGCAGGGGGTCTTAAGCCACCTGGGAGTTCCCTTGATTTCCTCCTCCTCCTCCTCCTCCTCTTCCTCCTCCTTCTCCTCTATTCCTTCTCCTCAGGAGTAACCCCTCCCTGTCGCACACTGAAGCCGGTCGAAAGGGCAGGCCAGGCGTTTCGCCTGAGAGTTCATCATAACGTATGCTCCTGAAGCTTGACATTTGTCACAGTTTCATGGATGGAGGGGGGGCTGTTCTCAAATGTGGCTCTCGCCCTAGCTCCGCCAACATTCATCTTCAACATTGACAAGAGCTGCACAGATGAAGGGCGGTCCGTTTCCAAGTTGTGCTCTCGCCCAAGCGCAGCGCACATGTGTTCTAAACATTTGCAAGAGCGGATGGAGGGCGGTTTCTTTTCAAACTGTGGCTCTCAACTTAGCGCCGCGCAGATTCGTCTGAGCAGTTCGCACGAATGTCACGGATGGAGGGCGGTTCCTTTTCAATATGTGGCTCTCGCCTGAGCGCCGCGAACACTCGTCGCAAACGATTGCAAGAGCTTCGCGGATGGAAGGGCAATTCTTTTTCAAAATGTTGATATCACCGTAGCGCCGTGCACATTCGTCGTAAAAGTTTGCACCATATTCACGAATTCGCACGGTCAACGTCCCAATAATAATGTTTTGGCGCTACGTATGTCGGAAGGTCAGAGCGCAACAGTCACGTGGACTCGCGGCGCTGAACTCCCAGGGAATGTTGTTCTGGCACGGATCAGGATCGTCAAGAAATAACAATAACGGTGACTCGCGGCGTTGACGACCCACAAATGGCGTTCTGGCACACTTCTGGAGTTTCAATCGGTTTTCTTCCAACGGGGAATTTCACTCAGGTCAGTGAAAATGAGCCCGTGCAGGAGCCTATGGAAAGGGAACTTGGAGGGAGGCTTCATTGAAACCTCAATGATGGATCTTGGGTTTACACTGGTCCTCCTCCTCCTCCTGCTCCTCCTCCTTCTCCTCCTCCTCCTCCTGCTCCTCCTCCGGACTCTTCCTCTAGACTCTTCCTCCTTCTCCCCCGCCCCCTCCTCCTGACTCCACCTCCATACTCCTACTCCTCCATCTCCTCCTCCTCCTCCTCCTCCTCCTCCTCCTCCTCCTGTCCCTTTTTCTGGCGTCCTTTTGTCTTGTCCTCCGCCCGCCTCTGACGCTGCTCCTCCATTCCTGGCCCCAGGGCGTCCACCACCACCATCTCCATCTTCCACCGTCGGGGCTCCGGAGACCCCGGCCCCATCCCTGCCCTGGATGCTGGGACTGGGGCTTCCGTCGCTGGCATGCCTGAGAGCGGGGCGGTGGCGAGGCCTGGGGGGGGGGGGGGAACTTGGAGGACGGGGGCGGAGAGGCGGGAGAGAGGGTGGACAAGGCGGGAGACCATGGAGAACAGGACGTGGGCAGAGCTGGGGAGCTGGAGGGGGCGTGGTGGAGCCCCTGCGTCCTGCAGCCGCCTCCGCGCCCCGGGACACCAGCCACGCGCAGGTGTCGCCTCGGCCCCGCTCGGGGAGGGCGGGCGGGCACGATCGCACCGCGCAGTCTGCGCACCGGGCCCCTCTGGCCTCTCCGGGAGGCTTCAGAGGATGCCCCAGGGGCCCCCCCGGGAGGCCCCTGGAAGTGCTGGCAAGCCGCAGGCGGACCCAGGAGGCCCAAGAAGAGCCCCGGGGGGGGGCCCACCCAGACGAACACAGGACGCTGCGGGAGGGCCGCCCAGGAAGCCACAGGAGGCCACAGGAGACGCCAGGAGGGCCCACCTGGCTCCCTGAGTCGATCTGGCGCGCGGATCTTCAGGCGTCTCCCTTGCATGGGTATCAGCTCGCCGACGTTGCCACAAGAGCGACGCCGAGGATCAATCGGGGATCAGCGATGCCGAGGATCAGCGGCTCTCAGACGCTTCCAGTTCCTGCTCTGCTTCCGAAGCAAGGGCTGCTGCGATCGCGGCGGTCTCTCGTGCACCTAGTGCCAGGAAGTAGGTGGCTACTGTTCGATTGCGCTCGCCGAAGGAGACGAAGATAAGCAGGATGGGGAGGTAGAAGAAGAGTAGCAGAGGATTCCGGAACAGTTGCAACAGCAGCATCAGCAGAGGCGAAATCAGGTGGAGGGGGGAGAAGAAGTCTCGCGAGGAGGAAGAGGATGAAGAAGATGAGGAACAATAGCAACACACTTTCAACAATAACAATCAACAGACTATGACTCATCATAAGAAGACTAGTCATAATAATACAATAGAAATCCACCGGCCCCCTCCGGGGGCGCAAGGCTGCGAAGGTGTGTGCGGTCTGCTGTCATGTGTATGTGATGTCATTTGTTGTTGGCCTTTTGTCTCTCGAGAGACCCCAGGAAGCGTCAATGAGGACTCCGACCCAAAACCCAAGCACGGTGGCGGGATGAACCGACGGATATTTGATAGCTGGCATGCGCGCTGCGTCACGACTTTCGATGCTGCCCACCACTTCGTCAAATTCCCAGGGAGCGGCCGGTGATGCGCCGCCGGCGTCCTCGATAACATGAATAGCAACAGTAAGAAACAACACTAGTAATAACACTAGCACTTATGATACACAGAACAATATTCACGATACTCTAAATTTAAGGATCGTAGTCGTACTAATACTTCTAATGATAACAACTATACTAAATCACTACTGTAAGAGAAACAGAAAATACTACTAGCAGTTCGACGAGTAAACGACAAGAGGGGGGCGGAGGAGGGGGAGGAGGAAGAGGAGGCGGGGGGGGAGGAGGAAGACGAGCAGGAGAAGCCGAGCGTAGCAGAACAGAGAGGTGTCCAACGGACTGAGCAAGCGACAACGACAAGCACATACGACCAGAGCGCCGTGTCGCCACGACTGCAGAACGGATATCATTACGATAGGTGAAGCTGGGCATCATGCGGAGCGCGTGGTAGGTTTGAACTGCGATGGCGACCTCTTCGACGACGGTAATCGTCGGTGCAAGGACACCCCAGCGCTGAGAGTACACAGAGGCGCGAGGTCACGACCGAGGACAGAAGAGGGGGCCCAACTCAGCTGCGGGCAGTTGGCATAACAGCACTGGCGATCGAGCTAATCATACAGCCCAAAACTGCAAGCCATGCGACCGCCTTTTCATGAAGATCTGCAGGATTATCCCCATCAGCAGGGTCAGGGGTGTGAGGAGGAGGAGGAGGAGGAGGAGGAGGAGGAGGAGGAGGAGGAGGAGGAGGAGAAGAAGGAGGAGAAGAAGGAGGAGGAGGAGGAGGAGCACGGGGACGAGGAGGAGGAAGAGGGAGAAGGAGGGAGGGGGGAGACCGAAGAAGGAGAACTGGGAGGAATGTGCGAGAGGGGAGAGACAGGAGGAGGAATGGGGAGAAGGACGAGGACGGTGGGGTGTGGGGCAAAGAGGGGGGGGGGCATGGCGGAGGTGTGACAAGGGTGGGGAGGCGGGGAACGTGGCGGGAAGACGGGGGGCATCGTCGGTCGAACCCGTGGCGTGGCCACGTCCTGCCGACGGGCGCCGCTGGCTGGGGGCCGCGCGCAGGTCGAAGCAGACGGGGAACGGCCGTCCCGAAGAGCGCGCCTCGGGAGCTTCCGCACGCGCCCCTCATCCCTTTGCCGTCGGGTCAACCAGTAGTATATCGACGGCGAGCGATGAGGGGGAGTTACAGGGAGAAGGCCTTCTCAGAAGGTGGCGGGAATTCACAGAAACCCTGGCGCCTTCCGAGAGCTTGCCTGCGTCTTCGGGGGAGGAGCAGAACACTTCTTGAAAGGCTGGCAGACTTCCGAGCCTTCTGAGAAGGCCTTCTCCGTCTCACTTTCCCCCCCGCTCGCCGTCGGGTATAACACATAGCAGTAGTATTACTCACTTCACTTTTTCTTATCGCCGCCCCTTATCGCCGAGAAGCATTATGTGACCTGGGCGCCCTGCAGTTTCAGAACTATGGGCGCAGACTCGTCAGAATTTGCTGGTATGTCGATTGCTGGAGAAAAGTAATGGCCGTCGGGGGTTAATGATGTGTTCGCATCTCTCCTCGCCTTCCAAAATATTCCGGACATGTGATGCGCCGTTCGCACATTATCAAAAGCGCTCGGACAGTTTCAGAGGCCATCATAAACCCACCACATTACTCCATCGATTGGGATCGATGGGATCGATTGTATCGCTTACACCATGGAACCGGACCCCATCCGCAGAGAAGAAGAGTCGCCCTCGGCGGTGCGTGATCGAATCGACATCGGCACGAATAATCGACATCGACATCGTAGGAGGCACCACTCCTTGCACCCGCTGGGCCAGTCCAATGTACCGCTCTCCTTGCTCTCCCCACCTCTCTCGTCCCCTTCGGGGGGAAGGGGAACGTCGGGGTGGAATATGAGATTGGTGGGCGGAGTCAGATTGCCCGTGCAAGTCCTGTACAAGACGAGGACGGACAACCAAAGAGGAAAGGGAGCGCGGCTTCGAACAGCATGGGCAGGAGGTGAGGAGGAGGGGGGTGAGGGCGAGGATTTCGAGAAAGAGAAGATGGAAAGATGGACGAACCTCCTTCGCCAAGTCCAGCTGTGTCCACACGTTCGGCTGCAGCTCCAAGAACTGCAGGAGGCCTCGTACGCCCATCGGTCCCTGCCCGCCGGATGGGGGGATGGGGGATAGGGAGAAACGATGGGGAGGGACGGCAGGGTCTGAGTAGGGAGAGGGGGAGAGGTGTTGTAGGAACGAGATGGAAGGGGGGAGAAGAGGAAGAGGAGGAGGCGGAGGCGGAGGAGGAGGAGGCGGAGAAGGAGGCGGAGTAGGAGGAGGAGGAGGAGGAGGAGGAGGAGGAGGAGGAGAGGGAGGAGGAGGAGGAGGAGAGGGAGGAGGAGAGGGAGAGGGGAGGGGAGGGAAGGAGCAGGGGGAGTGAGAGACGAGGGAGGGGGGAAGCTGGTCGGTTGGACCTCTCGGGTTGGGTTTGCGTCCCTGGGCTTGACTCCTTTGGCGCAGCCGCCGGGCAGAAGTCCAGGCAAAGCCAGATCGCCCACAGCCCTGGCCCAGCCCTGGCCACGCAGGGCGACCAGAGTGTGGGTGGAGGGGCTCCTGGGGACCCCCCGAGGTGGCCACCCCCGCGTGGTCCTGTGGGACAGCCGTCGGGGCACGAAGGCAGACCACACCCTGGAGACCCAATGCCCCCCCCTTGCTCCGCCCTCACCGCGCCGCGCGGCCCAGAAGGACGCACCCACCCGAGAACGGGCCCACACGGGAGGCGGGCCTCGCCAGGGCAGCCACCCAGGGGCACGCACAGGCGAACGCAGCCGAGATCGCGAAGGGGAGGGAGCCCGCGGAGCTCGGCGCCAGGGAGCCCCGACCGGCCCTGGCTTCCCGCGTGGCGAAGCAGGGCGCAGGGGAGGGAGGAGGGGCAGGAGGAGGGGCACGGGACAGATAGGGATGTCCCTGCCTGCCGATCGGGAGCTCCTCTCCTCCCCTCCCCTTCGCCCTGCCTCGCCCTCCCCTCGGCGCAGGAAGCGGGGAGCTCGGAGGGAGGCGCGAGATGCGTCAAGAGGCTGGAGTAGGATGAGGCGGCGGGAAGAAGAGAGGAGAGACGGACGGAAAGGATAGGAGCCGGAGGAGAATGGCAGCGGCAATGACATACTTGTCAACTCATGGTACGAAAAAGAAATCGGGACGGATCATGGTGATAGAGAGGAAGCGGAGCAGACAAGACGGACGGGAACAAGTCAGGGCGACGCCGAGAGAGAGAGAGACAGAGAGAGAGAGAGAGAAAGAGCAAACTG